ATTCCATATAGGCTTTATCGAGTTTTTATTAATTCGAGCATTTTAATTTGATGTTTTATTGTTAGGGAAAGTTATCGTGTAATTCGTCTCGTTAAACATTTGATCCGCTGAAATTTTCAAGCCGTTTTCCTTTCGTTCACTCGGAATTGTGAAGCAATTTTAAGTAATCGTCTTATCATCAGTTGTATGAAGCATGATTCCTTTTAAGATTCTCATTCCTTTCTTTTCGTTGGCATTTATTTGATTTTGCACTGTCCACTTTCATATTACGTGTAGCGCATTTTCATTATTGTGAAACAATCAAGAAGCGTTCATTCGGGTCTGATAATTATTTGAAAAACTGCTGTATAAAAGACGTAACCGTTTTATGGAATGTTAAATGCGTCTTAATTAAGCATAAAAAGGATTTGTATCGGTTGCTTGTTTCATGGCAAATTTCTTTTACGAATTTGATTTGTGATTCGTTGATGTTTCATAAGAATGTTTGGGGAGAAAATGAGTTATTTGAGAAGTTTATGCATTGCATCTTCGGTGAGACGCGATAGATCAACAATAGATTGAAAGCAGCCCTAATAATATAATGATAAGATCACTAAACACACACATAATCACCAAACATACAGATAATAGACTCTAGATGATATAATGCACTACTGGTAGATGGACGAAATAAATTCTTCTCTTATAGAACGACTGACATTTTAATCGGAGTATTTTTGCTCCAAAATAATACACAAACTGTTGTTTTTTCATTTGAAACAATTTTTACGCATGGAAATGTTGAAGGACAGTTATAGGCAATGAGATATTTGGGCCTAGAAATATTTTGAACAGAGACTAGACTAATTGAATAAAAGAAATACCAAATGGTTTGTTTATTCATCAGATGAGGATGGATATGAATAGGGTATGATTCCAGAGAGAGAAGCAAAATTCGAGTAAATATTCGAGTAATTTTGCGCTTCTGAATCTAAATGAATATCGACTTCATACCTCTGTAAGAGACATAAACTAAAATTGAAATTGCGGTCGGTATCAGAAAATTACTCCAAGTTGGACTGAATATAATGTCAGACCAAGTGGCTTGAGTGTGATGACTTAAAGCATGATCTCCAGAGGCGGCTGGAGATTCAGACGGCGCTTCGCTGGTGGAGTGTTTGCCTCGATCCACATGTCCAATGAGATACTCTTCGGCCATTTCTTTTGCGTCATTCGAATGACCAACATCGTAGAAACTTTCTGTGGCATCGTTTCCCGATTGCTCCAGAATCACCTCTTCGCCACCCGGGTGTTGATCAATGAATTTCGTCACATCGTACACCTGAAAATTTAGTTTCCATATCAAAATTACAAGCTAAACTACTCTATTTTCGTGCATAATCTGAACTGAAACAATGACCTGAATCAAACCAATAAATTTATGACTTAATCGATAAGTCACGATCAAACAATGTCAAAACAGTGATAAAAATGACTCCAACAACCTTATCATCGATAACAATCCATGACGATTGCACACTATTATGCACAGCAATCTCATCTAATGTGAACGTTTTGGATTTCGCGTCAACCATCCTTTAAAACCGCAGAATTCAATCGACAAATCACAATATCACG